AAATGGGCAGAGAACCCAAATAGACACTTTTCCAAAGAAGACAGACAGATGGGCAATAGACACATGGAAAGATGCTCAACATCACTAATCAACAGAGAAAAGCAAACCGAAATCACAGTAAGATGCCACCTCACACTGGCCCGAGTGGCTAGTGTCAAAAAGATAAGAAATAACAAGCCTTGGCGAGGATGCGCGGAAAAGGGAACCTTCATGCACTGTTGGTGGGAATGCAAACTGGTGCAGCCACTCTGGAAAACAGTATGGGGGTTCCTCAAAAAATTAAGAACAGAACTACCCTATGAGCCAACTATTTCACTTCTGGATATTTACCCAAAGGAAGTATAAACACTAATTTGAAAAAAAATATATGTATTTCCATGCTTAAGAATTATTTACAACAGCCAAGATAAAGAATTGAATGCCCACTGATAGACAAATGGATAACGAAGATGTGGCGTATATACACAAGGAAATATTACTCAGCCATAAAAACGAATGAAATCTCGCCCTTTGCGACAACAGGGGTGGACCAAGGGGGTATGAGGCTCAGTGAGATAAGTCAGACAGAGGAAGATCAATACCATATGCTTTCACTTGCATGTGAATATAAGCGATTCCACCATATGTGGAATCCAAAAAAACACCACCAACAAAAACAGACTTATAAATACAGGGAAAAAACTGGTGACGGTCAGTTTGGGAAGGGGCTAGGGGCCTGAGTGAAGTAGGTAAAGGGGATCAGGAAGTACAAACTTCCAGTTATAAAATAAACAAGTCACAGGCATGAAAAGTACAGCATAAGGAATACAGTCAAGAAATTGCGATAACCTTGCATGTTGACAGGCAATAACTATACTTATAGTACACCTGAAGCTAATGATACTAGTTTCATAGTCAACTGTAGTCGATATCGTCAACTATGCTTCAATTTTTTTTTAAAAAGGGGGGAAAAAAAGAAAAAATATCTTGTAGTCCTTACGTCGGGTTACATTGCATTGCATGTATTCATTAACTTCATAAATATTTACTAAGTGCCTGTTGTGTTCCTAGGTGCTGTGTTAGGCTGTGGGTAAGGATGGTTATCAACACATTCCGTGTCCTCAATTAGATTATAAAGAAATAAAGGAGACAGGCCAGTGGAAACATGCTGAACCATGCGAGAAATGCCAGGATGTGAATAGTAAGAAGTCACTTCACCTGGTTTTCAGGATGCTGGGGGAAGCTTTTCAAGGTAGATGATATCTTCTCTGTGCTACATGTGCTACGAGAGGATTGTAGACACAACCAAACATACCTCAGTTTCAAGGTGATCATGGTTGGGGTGCGTGGGTGGCTCAGCCGGTTAAGCATCCGACTTCGGCTCAGGTCATGATCTCGCAGTTTGTGAGTTTGAGCCTCGCAACAGGCTGTGTGCTGACAGCTCGGAGCCCGGAGCCTGCTTTGGATTCTGGGCCTCCCTCTCTCTGCCCCTGCCCCACTCACACTCTGTCTCTCTCCAAAAATAAATAAACATTAAAAAAAAAAATTTTTTTTTAAAAGGTGATCATGGTTTCGAACAGAAGATAAGAGGCAGGTCAATGAGGTGTTGGATAAAAAGTAAAAATATCCACTAGGATTCAAAGGACAAGGGGAAGCCTTTCCGAAAGAAAAGATTTTTTTTTTTTAATTTTTTTTCAACGTTTTTTATTTATTTTTGGGACAAAGAGAGACAGAGCATGAACGGGGGAGGGGCAGAGAGAGAGGGAGACACAGAACCGGAAACAGGCTCCAGGCTCCGAGCCATCAGCCCAGAGCCCGACGCGGGGCTCGAACTCACGGACCGCGAGATCGTGACCTGGCTGAAGTCGGATGCTTAACCGACTGCGCCACCCAGGCGCCCCCGGAAAGAAAAGATTTTTTAATTCAAAATTTCCAGAGCTGCAGAGGGCCAACAGCGTCACTTACCAAGTTCTAGGTAGGGGAGGAACAGGGCTACCACGGCTTACTTATATGGGGACTTCAAGAGTCTCTTCCGAGTATCAGATACGTGTATACCCAGAGACAAATGACATCGTTCGAGGTGCTCTCTCTCTGTTCCTTGAGTCTCATTATCTCTGCTCGTCTGTGGTGACCTAATTCTTTTCTCCAGCAAACACCGCTAAGTCAGCATCTTTAAACCTCAGCCATGCAGATACAAAATCATATCTCTTTATCTCTTAACATGCATATATCAGATATAATAAAAGACCCTAAAAATGTTTTATTGCTAAAAACTGCCAACCCTCATCCGAGCTTTCAGTGAGTTGTCATCATTTTGCTGGAGGGGCGTCTTGCCCCCATGTCGCTGCTGCTGACTGGTGGGGGTGGAGGTTACTGAAGGCTGGGCTGGCTGCGGCAATTTCTTAAAATAAGACAACAATGAAGTTTGCCACATGAAATGACACTTCCTTTCAGGAGTGATTTCTCTGCCACAGCCATGCTGTTTGATAGCATTTTTTTTTTTTTAGTTTTTTTTTTTTTTTTAACATTTGTTTATTTTTGAGAGACAGAGCGAGAGCAGGCGAGGGGCAGAGAGAGAGGGAGACACAGAATCTGAAGCAGGCTCCAGGCTCCGAGCTGTCAGCACAGAGCCCGACGCGAGGCTCAAACCCACAAACCAGGAGATAATGACCTGAGCTGAAGTCGGATGCTTAATCGACGGAGCCACCCAGGCGCCCCTGCTGTTTGATAGCATTTTACCCGCAGCAGAACTTCTTTCAAAACTGGAGTCGCGGCGCCTGGGTGGCGCAGTCGGTTAAGCGTCCGACTTCAGCCAGGTCACGATCTCGCGATCTCGCGGGATCTCATGATCTCGCGGTCCGTGAGTTCGAGCCCCGCGTCGGGCTCTGGGCTGATGGCTCGGAGCCTGGAGCCTGTTTCCGATTCTGTGTCTCCCTCTCTCTCTGCCCCTCCCCCGTTCATGCTCTGTCTCTCTCTGTCCCCAAAATAAATAAACGTTGAAAAAAAAAAATTTAAAAAAAAAAACTGGAGTCAATTCTCTTCATCCTTGCCACTGTTTTTTCAACTACGTTGATGGGATATTCTCAATCCTTTGGTGTCATTTCAAGGATCTTCATAGCATGCTCCCCAGGAGTAGATTCCATCTCAAAAAAAAAAAATTTTTTTTTTCTTTTTCTCTGCTCCTCCATGAGAAGCAAAGCTTCATCCCTGAAAGTTTTATCCTGAGATTGAAGCAATCCATCCCGTCTAGAGACTCTGCTTCTGATTTTAGTTCTCTTCCTGTTTCCACCCCATCCGCGGTTACAGCCTCCGCAGAAGTCTTGAACCCTCAGAGTTATCCGTGAAGGGCTGTGATCCGCTCCCTCCAGTTCCTGTGAGTGTTGATGTTTTGACCTCTTCTCACGAACCATGAACGTTCTGGAGGCATCTAGAATGATGACTCCTTCCCAGAAGGTTTTCAGTTTTGTTTTCAGGTTTGCTTTGTCCAGATCCATCAGCAGAATCGTTATCTAGGGCAGCCACGGCCTCACAAAATGCGTTTGTCAAATAATGAGACTCGAAAGTCGAAATGATTCCTTGATGCGTGAGCGGCAGAACGGGTGTTGTGTCAGCAGGCACGACAACACTCGTCTCGTTGTCCATCAGAGCTCTTGGGTGCCCGGATCATGGTCAAGGAGCAGTAATATCTTGAAAGAAACCTTTTTTTCTGCACAGCAGGTCTCGACAGTGGACTTGATATTTGGTAACCCGTGTTGCAAACAGATGTGCTGTCATCCAGGCTTTGTTGTTCCGTTTCTAGAGCACAGACATGATAGATTTAGCGTAATTCTTAAGGGCCCCGGGATTTGGGAAAAGGTCAGTGAGTCACCAGCTGCGTTAGCCTCTAACAAGAGAGGTGGCCCATCCTTTGAAGCTGGGGAACCAGGCATTGACTTCTGTCTAGCCACGAGAGTCCTAGGTGGCCTCCCCTTCCAATATGAGACTGTTTTGTCTGCACTGAGAATCTGCTGGTGAGCGTGGCCACCTTCTCTTCGCCGGATCTTCCGGAGAACTTGCCACAACTTCTACATCAGCACTGGCTGCTACTCCCTGAGCTTCGCTGTTCTGGAGGCAGTTTCTTTCTCGAAACCTCACAGACCGGCCTCTGCCAGCTTCTCGCTGTGCCTGCACAGCCTCCTCCCCTCGCTCGGCCTTCGCAGAATGAAGACAGTCCAGGCCTTGCTCCGGACCAGACTCTGGCTTACGGGGACGTGGCGCGTGTGATGTTCCGTCCAGACCACTCAGACGTTCTCCACGTCAGCAGTAAGGCCATTTAGCTTTCTCATCATCTGCGTGTTCCCTGGAATGGCACTTTTCCTTTCCTTCAAGAACTGTCCCTTTGAGTTCACAACTTGGCCAACCGTCTGGCGCAAGAGACTTAAGCGTTCAGTGTATCTCAGTTTTGGACGCACCCTCCCCCCTGAGCTGAATCACCGCCAGCTTCTGATTTAAAGTGACGGGCGGGAGACTCTGCCTCTCACTTGCACACTTACCGGCCGTTGCAGGGTCCATGATCCGCCTAATGTCACTGCTGCCCTGTCTCAGGGAACAGGGAGGCCCGAGGAGAGGGAGAGAGACCGGGAACAGCTGTCGGTGAAGCATCGGCACACACACAACATCTAGCAAGTTCGCTGTCTTATAGGGGCACAGCTTCTGGTGCCCCCAAATCATTACAATGCTGACATCAAAAATCACTGATCACAGATCACTGTAAAAATATAAAAATATGGGGCGCCTGGGTGGCTCCGTCGGTTGAGCGTCCGACTTCGGCTCAGGTCACGCTCTCACGGTCCGTGGGTTCGAGCCCCGTGTCGGGCTCTGTGCCGACAGCTCGGAGCCTGGAGCCTGCTTCGGATTCCGTGGCTCCCTCTCTCTCCGCCCCTCCCCGGCTCACTCTCTGTCTCTCTCTGTCTCAAAAATAAATAAACATGAAAAAAATAAAACAAAATAAAAATAAAAACCGTGACGAAGTTTGAAGGACTGCGAGAATCGCCAAAACGTGTCGCAGAGTAAAGAAAGGTTGGAAAATGGCACCAACAGTCTGGCTCGACCCAGGGTGGCCACAAAACCTCAGTTTGTAGAGAAACACGATGTCTGTGAGGCTCAACAAGGCGGAGAGCAACAGAGCGAGGTAAGCCTGTAATATTGGCCTCGAATGCCATTCATGCCACCGAATGGGACGGTTACAACAGTGACTCTTGGGTCACCACACCACAGCCTGTCATTTGGGCCATTCCGCGCCCCCCCCCCCCAAACCCGCCGGCAAAAAAAAAGTCAAAAAATGAAAAAAGGAACTAGACAGAAAATGAAAATTGCAACTCACGTCGCACACTTAAGAGCGTTGCACTCCACTCAGAGAAGAGTAAACAGAATAGTAGGCAAATGAGGGCTGTCGGTGCGCAGGAAGGCTTACCACACCTCCGAGAGGAAGGAGAAGTCCGGGTGAGAACCACTTTCAGTTGATGACAGAAGCGCCAAGGGTGGACACCGGCTGCAGGAGGCCACCGGCTCCCGTCTGCCCCGCCGTCATGCTCTGTCTGCTCCTGCCTCTCGCGTTGGTCTCCTGCCTCGGCCCAGGTAAATGCGGGGGGTGGTCGCGCAGCCCCCCGAGCGACTCTCTGGTTTTGCGCAGCTCGCTCAGTCTACACCACTCATGCATAGGTGTCTGTCTGTCCCCCCGCGGGGCCGGGTGGGTGTCACCGCCTCTCCACTTGGCACACGAAGCGCTCCCTTGGAGCTGACAGCTTCCCCTGTGTCTGCATTCACCTGCGGGGCATGGGAGGTGGGCTTGTTCTAAGAGCAGACAGTTTGGAGTTTACAACCGGCATGCTGTGAAATACAGAGTTCTGCCGTTAGGAAAGTGAGTTCTCTCCCCAAATGAGCTACTGTCTTGCCGGGTGACCTCAGGTAGGTTCCTTATGCCTCTTGAGTTTCAGTGTCCGCGTCGAAAATATTGACAACCCTATGGTTCAGTGTGGCCAAAATTTCTAGGCACAGGGCAAACGCTGGAAATAGCCCTATTTTATTACTGTGATCGCTGGCTCTCCCTTCTTGTGATTCATATCAGAGGCTAGCTAGGCTGCCAGAACTTTATATGGCCACAGAAAGTCCTGGCCCGTCCTGCCTCCCCGTTCCCCACTGACCAGTACATGGAAAACGGGAAGGTTCGTGTCATGTTTGGGGAATCACCGGTGGTTATTGGAACCAAAGTACAGGCTTCAGGGACAGACGGGGCAGGAGACGAGACAGAAAAGGTAGGCCAGATGGGGCACCCGGGTGGCTCAGTCGGTTGAGCGTCCGACTTCAGCTCAGGTCACGGTCTCAGTCCGTGAGTTCAAGCCCAGCATCTGGCCCTGTGCTGACAGCTCAGAGCCTGGAGGCTGCTTCGGATTCTGTGTCTCCCTCTCTCTCTGCCCCTCCCCCGCTCACGCTCTGTTTCTCTCACTCTCAAAAATGAATAAATGTTAAAAAAAAAAAAAAAGTTAAAAAAAATAAAAGAAAAGCTAGGCCAGGGTAGCAGATGAAAATAGCTAATACTTCCTGACGCCTTCTGTTCAGGGCCCTGGGCCAAGTACTGTGCACGCATTATATACATAAGCCTCAGTACAGGTCTCGGGAGCTTGTGCTATATTGACCCCATTTTACAACGAGAATTTAAATAACTGGCCCAGATTTCGTTAGCCAGCAGGTGGCAAGCTCTTGCAACAGTTCTGAGAAACAGTGACCAGTGCCCAGACACAGCCGCAGTGCAAGAGAAAGGGCCACGGTGACAGTCACCGTGGATGCAGAATTAACAAGACGGACACCAGGAGGGTGGGGGAGGCTCTGCTTGTCTAGCTTCTGGGGACACATCGTGAACAGAGCGGGTGAAAACTGTTCCCCGTGAAGCTCACATCTGAGCAGAGGAAACAAGTTACCTAAGTGAAGTGGCATAGTGGACAGTGACAAATGATAAGGAGGAAAAAAAATCAAGCGGGGAATGGGGATGTGAAGGATGGTGGAAGGAAGGGGCAGGGAGATTTCAGACAGAGTCGCCAGAGGTGATAAAGTTGGGGGACGAAGGGAAGGGAGGCGGGGAGTTCAAGGTCGGATCTACCGATTTGAAGACATCAGGGTGATATCCGTGAGATTTCCCGGGAGCGGCTGGAAATTGAGGACTAGAGGCTGGAGGCGCGGACATCACGGCAGGGAGATCATCACCGAAGCTAAGAAAAAGTGCAAGGAGAGAAGAGCCGTGGGAGATAACGTGTCCATCCTGTCCTGTCTTTCTAGAGGTCTCCAGGTACAGGGCGTGGCCTCCATGCGATGTCCCCAGCTCTGTCTATCCCAGACATGACCTTTGATGGGAAAGTCAATGCATTATCGCTTTGTAGCGACCTCAGTAGCCCAAATCAGGGGAATATCCATTTTGATAAGGGCCTTTGTTACCCCATTTGCCATTCCTGCCCCACAGGGAGAGGCCTCAATCCATCTAGTGAACGTAACTACAAATATCCAGTATTTGAAACCCCCAGGGGCTGCTGGCATGACGGCAAAACCCGTTTGCCAGTCTTCCGCAGGCAGTGTCCCCCTGGCCTGATTTGCCTCGGCTAATAATAATAATCTCTTTCATCCCTGGACCGTATATTGTCTCTGTTGACCACAGGCATGAAGCTTCTCTGCCACCGTCAGTTGGATCTTGTGCACTCTTTAAACGCTTTTTTGTAGTGTTTGTTTATTTTTGAAGGAGAGAGAGATAGGGACAGAGAGAGAAGGGGCGGGGCAGAGAGAGGAGACCCAGAATCCGAAGCAGGCTCCAGGCTCCGAGCTGTCAGCCCAGAGTCCGACGCGGGGCTGGAACCCGGGAACCGTGAGAGCGTGACCTGAGCCGAAGTCGGATGCTTAAGCGACGGAGCCCCCCGGGCGCCCCTAGGTCATGTGCACTCTTAAGAAGCCCCCAAGAAGTCTGCTTGGGCCCCTGGACTTTCCCACTGCTCTTTGTCATCTGATTATCAGGGCCCATCCTCAGCCCGGTTTTGCTGCCTCCTCTGTCTCCACATGGGGGTAGGTTGGGGCAGACTGATAATGAGGCAAGGAGGTTATCGCTGTGCTGCAAAATCTCCCGACCTAGCAGCCCTTCCTGTGGCTGCGGCCGCCAAGCTACTTGCCTGTACGACTTCTGAGTTTCCTTTCTGGTGGGACTCGCAATGCACCATGGGCACCTTGCTCGACTTGTGGGCGGTTTCCAACACCCCGCGGGTCTCTCTGCCAAAGCTGGTTTCTTTATATCCAGGTTTCGTAAGCCTTTCCTTCCATTTGGCTCCATGGGCATGGAAGACAGAGAAGGTGTATTTAGAATCTTTTATGTAGAATAGAGTGCTAATCGGTAGCACTTTATGTCTGCCTTTCGGGCCGAGGGGCCTGGGGTCGGCCTCTTGGCCTCTACAAGAGCATCCAGGGACACCACGTCCCTGCCTTTCTTGCCCATCTACAGATTGGCCTTCCTCCGCCCTGGCCAGGGATCCACTTGGGAGATCTCTGCGACTTGAGACTTGACCGGTTCCTTCTGGGCAACTGTGAGGGGTGGAGGAGCGAGGTCAGGAAGCAGGGTAGCTGGGTTTAAAGTGTGATGCGGCTTCAGCCGTAGCTGAGGGGGATCTGGCAGGTGGCTTGATATTGTCGTGTTCTGTGTTGGGACAGCCACAGATGTCCTTTGGTTTCTGATAAACCAGAGACCAGGTGCAGGGTCCAGACTGTTCTAGGTGGACTCACACTTTCTTTTTACCTCTTTTATCAAAAGGCACGTGGCTGCCCCAGCTCTCAGGCAGGGACACCAACTCCTGGCCACCATGTCCGAATGTTCAAAGAAATCAGCCACCACGCTCTCATTTAAGGGCCCCAGCATCTGTGTTAACACCCCCACAGCCACGCCTTATCTTTCAGGTCCATATAAATCAAATGTTTTTCAAGGTCTGGTAACGCTAAGGTTGGGGCTTCTGAACACATGGGATCTCTTACTTTTCTACAAAATAGTTTCCATTGCAATGTGCCGTTGAGTTTTAAAGTTCCATTTTCTGGGGGCGCCTGGGTGGCTCAGTCGGGTGAGCGTCCGACTTCAGCTCAGGTCACGATCTCGTTGTCCCTAAGTTCGAGCCCCGCGTCAGGCTCTGGGCTGATGGCTCAGAGCCTGGAGCCTGTGTCCGATTCTGTGTCTCCCTCTCTCTCTCTGCCCCTCCCCCGTTCATGCTCTGTCTCTCTCTGTCCCAAAAATAAATAAACGTTGAAAAAAAAAAAAATTCAAAAGCCTTCCAGTGCTGGAGGCTACAGGCCACAGGCTGTTGTTCAGAATGGAACTTGTCCCATGTTCTGGGAACCTTCCTTAGAGCCTCTGAACTACCAAAGGTCGCATACAGTGATTAGGGGTGACACAAATGCCACACGATCTTGCTCCCAGAATATTTAAGCCTCGAGTGGCTTGTCCTTAAGAAAAAGGCCATGGGTGGCTCCGTTGGTTAAGTGTCCGACTGCGGCTCAGATCATGATCTCGCGGTTCGTGAGTTCGAGCCCCGCCTCGGGCTGTGTGCCGACAGCTCAGAGCCTGGAGCCTGCTGTGGATTCTGTGTCTCCCCCTCTCTCTGGCCCTTCCCCTCTCTCTCTCTCTGTCTCTCTCTCTCAAAAAATAAATAAACATTAAAAAAAATTTTTTTTAATTGTAAAGAAAAAGGCTAGAGAAAGAAAGGTCTTGGGGACTGCCGAGGACTCTGGGCGTCTATCTTAACTGTTAGTAAGTGAAGTTACACCAGAGAACTGGGGGGCCCTACTTACAGATCGCCAGTACCGAAAAGAAGGGAAGGACAAGGTATACAACGGCCAGGCACTCAGGGTGGAGATTCAGACAGTCGACAACAGTCAATTGAGTAAAAACATACTCACAGATACTAGACCAGCCGGGACGGAGACGTCCGGCAAATCTCCCGGACTCTAAGCACGAGACACCAGCACAACAGGGTCCAGTGTCCCCAGCGAAGAGGTCAAGTTTACCCTCTGACTAGTCTCAAAACGATCGCTCCCGTTTCGCCGGGCTGGAGCATCCAAGCCTCCCGGATAGCCAGGTTGTGCAGTCTTCCTAATGGTCTTTCCCAGTTCACCCAGACTTTGTGAGACACTCTCTAAAATCTGTGCCGTAGACCCGGCCTATGCCAGCAGAGAGCCTTCCGAATAAAAACACTCGGTGCAGCCGCTGGATCTCGGGGGAGGTCCCAACACCGGTGGTCGTTACAGGCACCAAGGAGGGGGAACCCCGCAAGGAATCCGCTTCCAGCCCGGCCCCGGGAGCTTGAATGGGTTAGCCCAGGACGAGGGGACACTGCCCTCTACTCCATTCACCAGACACCAGGGAATCGGAGGGCAGAGTCGCAGAAGGACAAGAGTCCCACCTGGGTCACCAACGTTTGTTACCGAGCCAATGTGGGTGGGCCCCTCGGTGAGTTACAGAGAGAAGCTACACCGGCCGGAGCTACCTTACCAAGTCCTCTATTTGCAGCAAATACGGAGAACATGGAGTATAATTCCCAAGGCGGTGACTCCCCAAACAGGAG